GACAAACAGAAACTACGCACCTTGAAGGCTGACGAGAAGTCTCGATTTTCATGGAAGGTGATCTCGACCAAGATGGGCAAGTCCGAGGAAGATGTTCGCTCTATGTGGAATAAGATCAAAGACAAACTTGGCTGACCAACGACATATGCGAACCAAAAGAAAAAGGTAGTTTGCGGCACTGTATTACAGCTTCACCAACCAGTTGGCCTTTCTTTTGAGAATTTTTGTTCCTTTTGTTGATCTTCACAACCACGGGCGTTGTTGCCCCATTGAATTGTGACACGTCGTATCATATAACCCGCCAGCCATTTATTATGTCTCTCCGCATTCACCTGGATCGCTATTGCCAACTGCGAGCTATGTCCCACGAGAGGATCTCACCTACACGACGCTCACGCTCTCCAACAAGGACATCGTCTTCCGCTATGGGCTCTTCGTCACTTCAGCACCCACCCAACCGGACTTCGCCTACGACACCCCACCGACCGGTTATTTTCCAATTGGACCTGAAGCCGATGCAGCAACTTGCCGTCCGCAACCCTTATTACAACATCTTGACCCCCAAGGTCGCGGGCAACCTCCCTACGGCCACCTATGATAGCCTGTTCCAGACGTTCAAGGTGATCTACCCGGACTATGCTCGCAGTCATTTCGTTTCAGACCTCAAAACTGTGGTCACCGACACGCTGCTACAACGATGGTCGATACACCTACCAGCGTCAGATTTCTACATGATGATTGACACCGATCAAGGAGCTCAGATGCTTGACGACCTCCCTCATTCTCTTCTGGATGTTTTGAACTGGTTCTACCCGAGATGGAAAACTCATCAACATCTCGATGCCTTCACGACTCGTGAGTGTTCACCTTTGCTGCTGACACCCCATCCAGATGCACAAGACACAGGCTTCGCTGTACATGTTCAAGTGATTCCCCGTGGGCATCCATTCGTCACGGCCACCAGATACACTAAAGCGGCCGAGTGATTAGCCTTCGTGATAGATCTTGGCGAGGCTCACGTCTATGAGGAAAAAGAAAAAACATTCGTTATGATGTCCGCCACCCCGGTTCTGAGTTTCCTTTGTCTCATCCACTTCTCTTTTTCCATTTGGTGATGTTCGTTATTTATTCCTTCATCATTGACCTTCCCCACGGCTTTTTGGCTTCAGTTCAGTATATCTCGTTATCATACTTTTGCTATTGTACATGATGACCTCCAACACGGATGATACTGCTCGATTGGTCTCACACCGTTCCCCACCTACATCCGTACATGGCCTTGTCCCACACATGCCACCTGATGATCCTACCTCGGCATCCTATATTCCCCGTGCAGCGCGAACGATTCCGACCTCTACCACTGTCCATTCCGTCTTCATCAAGAAGCTGAGCTATCCTTTGTCTAACCGTCCAGATGAACTTTGGATCGTGGAAAGGACACTTGATGGTATTGAAACGTGGAAACCAGTGGAAACATTTCTGGAGAACATGCACCTCACCAACGATCAGGCGACCCTACGTACCACAGCTAATCATTGGCGCCGATACTATGACGTACCAATTCAATCATCATCCTCCTCCCCTACGGCAACTACTGTTCCTGTTCTACCACACCCTGAACACTCCAACGTCTATGTCTCCCAGCCGTACGAAGCGATACCGGACCACCTCCATATTTTGCAGTCATGCTGGGGACGCTCTGCCCAACACCACTCTCAAGGAACCACCACCTCTTTATATTGGCCACCTTGGCGGTCTACACCACCTTCTTCCCCACCGGCAACACTACAACGTACGGTACATCTCACTCGCCCCGCCGTCCCTCCTCAACAAGTACATGGTCCACTGGATGCGAACGATATGGACCCGATGGATATGTCGGACTCCAGTGTGTAATATACCACATCATTTGTCGGCATGGAAAAAGAACAGTGATTTACCGTCTTTTTGTGACCACTTACTAGGTACACCGTTTCTCTTCAATTTCCAACACTTTGAGCTTTATTCTTTGGTCATTATCAACCTATTCTGCAGCTTGGGCTTTCCGCTTTATCCTCGACACTCGATATTCGACGCCATGGCTCATTCTTCTCGGCCCCATCCATATCGCGCTACATCCACGATTGAGACACCGCTGGGTACACGAACCATTGGATGGTTTGCTGGACATCGAGGCCTTCCTGGTGATGTGAACCCTCCTCCAAACCGACCTGTTCTTATCTTGGTTGACTTCTCTCCCCTACAGGCATTGACTCACCGCAGCGAACCTGACCGTGAACACTACATGGCTATGGCTAGCTCCAATTTCAGAAATGTTAGTGGCTACGAACTTGAGGCTCTGTTTACCTGGTCGCGTCAGATGGAACCAGTTGAAGCCGGCCTTATCCCAACTGGCGAACTACGCTTCTGTATCTCAAAAAGATTGAGGTCCCAATGGGACATCCAAATTGATCCCTCGAATTTGGAGTTTCGCTTTTGCGACCTGGACGGTGATACATTCCAAGTCTCCAATGATATGACGATCTTGCAGCTTTTGGAGGAATACCGACCTGAATGGCGACTTCGGCAGTACAACTCCCGCGAATCCTCTTTGCTCATTCCGGGTACCACACAGCCTTTCGTACTACGTCTGCAATGCTACAAAATTAGCTCCGGTGTGATCTTGCCCTGATACGCTAGCCGGCCAAAAAGACCATGCTGCAGGGTTTCTATTCTCTCTTGACACCTCACCAACACAAAGGATTCTTTGATTTCTACCTTATTTGACTTTGAGCTTTGGCTTCTATGTCGCAATTGAACCACTTGATTGAGGACTGGACTTCACCTCTATTATCATTATTCTTAGGTTTCTCATGTTCGGGCTGGACTTGTTCATGCAATTTTTGATGCCTCAGCCTTTGTTCACCATTTCTCGCATTTCTGATCGTTTCACCCATGGAGCACAAACGAGACGCGACCGTGGCGGGCTTGGCTTGGCCTTCGAATCCTACCCGTGGACTCGCTCCTACCAACCCAGTTCAAGTACCAGACACCCAGGCTGCTGCACTTTGTCATTCTGGCGTTTCGGACCCTCCTACCAACACCACTTTGAAACCTTTGGCGACTGACAGTACAGCTCCTGACCTTGGAACTACGGTCCATTCTGATACATATTCAGGCCTTGCACCTCCTGATATCCCGTTTCCGACGGAGCCAAGCTCTACACACAACTACCTCCATCGTGCTCACTTCTCTTCTCGCGTGGTTCACCAGATCCAATTCAAGATCTTTACCCACTCCAACAACACCAGGGAGCTATTCATTGAAGAGATCCCCTTGTCAGGGCTTTCCAGATGTCGTGATCCTGAACACTACTTTTATGGTCTTTCGGGCAATTGGGAATGGTCCCTGCGCACAGCGGACTATTGGCGACATCATTTTGAAATTCCCCTAGTACATGGACATCACCCTTTTCACAACGTTCCCATTGAGACCACGGCACCTACGGAGGCAACCCGCTTTACTCCGACGATCCAGGACTTGGCCCAACAACTTTCAATCACTTTGAGGGCTGCTATGGCATCTGGGGAAATCAACGACACTTGGAGGACGCTTGAGGACATGAGCTTCCGTGACGCGATCGAAACACTTCAAGCCGAGACGAGCCTCCCTTCTGAGTGACTGAATACAGTTATGTACATTAGCTCCGGAAAAGCTTTATGTATTTAATTTTGTCGACAATTGCTGCGATGGTCTTCCAAAAATCAAACCCCGCTACAAGCGGGGTGTGTGTGTGTAACATCTGAACAGATGTAAAACTTCCTTGACTCTTACCGTTTTACATTTGCAGGAAACCTGTTTATATTTGCAGGGGGTGCCAGGGATCATTGCAAGTCTGGCACTAACAAAGACACTTGCTTTGATCTGTGATATCAGAAAGGGACGCCTTTCTGACGTACCTGCCAATTTGCAGATCGGTTTAAACTGTTGATCAAGCTGTTGCACTGTGTTGTTTCGAATCTACACGGTTGCCACAATCTGTATTGCATGCATCAGAACCTTCCTCAGATTTTCGCCGAAACCATATCGCCGACAGTATTTTGAATTTTTGACATATTTTCGCCGAGATCATGTCGCCGACGAACTTTGGGTCTTTTTGGGAAACAATCGCCGAAACATTATTTTGGATTTTCAACATGCTGGTCAAAACTCTATGGACTCTGGTTAAGACTACGTTTGACAATATTGGATGCCCTACATCGTTTTCGAGAAGTACCTCATGTGGCTCCTTTATTAATCTAACGATCTAGGCTGGTTTGCATGTTTCAGGATTCAGTTCCTGCCGGATCATATAATGATCCATTCTTGTCTAGTGTGTGTGTGGTTGTTGTGTTGATTTTGTTTGGCGTGCCTTCGTGAGTGTGTTTGGTAGCCGGGGGCGTGCCGTCGTGTCGTGGGACGCGCAGCCGAGGCCCAAAGTGGGATTCGTGAGGATCACATGGTGCACGCCGCTGCAGCAGGGTGGCTTGATCAGAGCAGACTGCACGGCAGATGGTGCGGGTTGGGCTGGGTTTGTGAAGGCCCTGAAGGCCGTGGGCACTGTTCGAGAGTTGTCCGACGAGGAAAAGAGCAAGGATACAGAGGCGGGGAAAGGCTGAACTGCATGTGAAACTGTGTGAATTGCTTTGCATGTAGCCGGACTAGTAGATGTATGATACATGATATATATATATATATTTAATATATGTATATATATATATATATTATTGATAAACTATATATGATATATATTATTTGAACATATATAATACATAATATAGTTATCATGTATAAAATATAATATATAATATATGATATATAATGTATAATATAGAATATATAATGTTTTAGACATAATATAACATATATAATATAGAGTATATAATATATAATATCCAATATAGAATAGATAATATAGAATAGATAATGTATTATATCTAATATAGAATGTATTCGCTCGATTGGTCCCAGCTGTGGGACAGGTGCGTAAGAGGACAGCTCCAGACGCCGACCGGGTGAAGTCGAATGCGGCGTTGATTGCAGAGTTGCTGCGAAAGCGGCCGGAGGGCGGGAGGAAAGCGAAAGCCAGAAGAAGTTCGGATCGGGCGATTGAATGTCTGACGCTGAGCGACTTGTCTGCAATAGAATTGTCATGCTTTGGAGGCCTGGCTAGGCGATAGCCGTTGCAATCTGTGTGAGCAAAAGTACAAGTAGATGTGAATGGGGCCAGTGGGGGAGCAAGTGTGAGGCACTCGCGTGGCAGCACAGAGGTTGTCTGGTGCACAGGAGGAGCATTTGTCCGGGGACGAGGGCGACTAGGCACAATGGTGAGCATGAGCTTGATTGTTGGCTTGAGCATCGCAATGGGCAGCGAGAAAGCGACTGCCGTTTTTGTGGCCTGTCAATGTCCCACGAGGCTGTGGCGAAAGCAATTGAAGAAGTAATGTGTGGTTGTATGTTGGAACAAATAGAACGGAAGTTGGTTTGAAGCATTCAAAGGGTGCTGTTTGGTGCCTGTTACAGGGACTGATGTGAACTAGCTGTTGCGCTACAAAGGCGCTGCGGTTGGTTTGACGGGCTGTTTGGCCGCTGCAAGTGGTGAGAGATGCGTGAACTGGCAGTTGCGCTATAAAGGCGCAGCCGCCGGTGAGCGCTGCTGGCGCATCTGGGCTCCAAAATGCTTTCTGTTTGGCGTTGCTGGAGGCTACAAACAAACATGGCAGTTTTTTGGCAGATTGTCGAAAGGGCATCGAAGGCATAGATTTATGTTATTTGCCCAACAATCGGTATCTAAGCAAGGTGCATGTCTGGTTCAAAGCTCAAATCTTCGGAAAATATCCGAACATTGTACGAAACCAAATATGTCAATCCCAAGGCATGTGCTGTCTTTCACATTTTGTTGAGAGTGGCTATTTTGTTGAGTTTTTGAAGCAGTAGCATTCTTGATTTGTTCACATCAGGGATGACATCTCCTGGATGTCAGGACCATTACACTGACGAGACTGGGATGAGTAGATTTTTAAATATGATTCGATGTTTTTCGTAAGTTGGCTGGCTAAAGACACGATGGTCCACGGTAGATATCTCTGGTTAGATGGTTATCAAACTCAGGATTTCCCACACACCATCACTTTAAGGCTGCATCCCTGCGATTTCCTTGAGACGGTAGTTCCACCGATGTGGTTATATAGTCATAGTTATAATGCGATAATGTTTATAATCCCAACTTAGGGAGGTTATGGTTCGCATGGTTACACCCACAAAAACTAACCCCAGCTGCCCCAAGTCGGGTAAATTCCATTATGCACCCCATCATATACTATCCATAGTGTTCGAAGTTTTCAGTGAAATGCTTGAAACATCCAAATGGAGTCCGAAGCCGTGGGTTCGCAAGAGTGATTTGACAATGGGGACGTGCAATCATGGTGTCTCCAGTGAAGAAGCTGCGTGTGGCCGCGGCGGTGGCAGAACCCGAGGAAGTTGTGGCGAAGGCCAGGGAGGGTGAGGGTTGGTGACATATCCATCAGAAGCTCCGAGTACCCCAATGCAGCCTTGGAGGATCTTCAAGTGAGCTTCCATGCGACCTATGTTGCATCAAAAAGGGGGCAAAATTTAGACCCCTTTTTTCACCTACTGTAACCTTAACCCAACATAAGCCCGACATACCTCCCTTTTTCCTCCAGCATAGGCTCAAGTTAGCCCCCAAACGGTCCAGTATCGATCCGACATAGGCCCGACATAGTTTTGCAGTAAACCTTCATCGGCCCAACAGCGGAGCAACATAGCCCAACAGGACCTTCTGGCGTTGTATCAGATGGAGAAGACGCAGTGTACCGTGGTGAAGGTCAATGCATACCTGCTGGATGTGTCGCCGCTATGCGTAGCAGGATCGAAGCGAGTGTGCGATGCGGCCTGGCAGCAGGGGGCGGAGAGATCATGAAATGTTTATGTGCTGGATCGTGTTTGAGTTTGTTGAGAGAAGGAGAGATTGAGTGGTGCCTGAAAATTGCTGTTTATCTGTGACGAAAGTGTTTGCTTGTAGGTGGTCTGGTGTGATGCAAGTCGCGTGCTGAGGTTGTGTTGGGCGATGCCGGTGCAATTGTGGTTGGCACGCTGTGGGGTGGCGCATCGCGTCATCACGCGGCTTTGGAGGCTGCATTGACAGCCGCTGCTGAAGGGCTTTGGCCAAAGCTGGTGCTGGCCGGCGTCGAGATCAGGAAAGTTGGCAAGACCGGTGGGACGAACATCGTGCGCTTGGATGCCTCGGATGCATCGACCGTGAAGGTGGATCCAGCAGCGAGCCTTACGATCAATGTCGACGACAGCATCCTCGTGAAGGATTTTTCGGAGCTGGTATCCTGGGAGGTGAGGGTGGGGCTGCGAGGTGTTACACTATAAATTGTATTACATGTCCTCACATACATGACATGAACTACATGCATCGCATACATCACATAAATTACATACATTATATGTGTCAATTCAATACATTCAGCACACACGATACATACATTACAGGCATTACATGCATTGCATGCATTATATACATACTAGAACATTGCAAAACATTACATACCTGACATTCTTTACATGCAGTGCAGACACTGTAACATGCATTACATCCCTTTTTCTGAATTTATCTGAATTTTTGAATCTATCTGAATCTATTTGAACCTTTCTGCATCTGAATCTATCTGAATCTATTTGACTCTATCTGAATCTCTGAATCTATCCCGTCAGGGCGAGACCATCCACATCGAGGGTGTTGTGGCCAACCCTCAGCCTGTACTGCAGTCCAGGGAGAAGGGTGTGCCGTACCAGGCAAGCGCGGGAGAGGGGCGAGACGTGGGTTCAAGATAGTATGTTTGCATCGTATCTGGCATCTTGTCTGAATCTATCTGAATCTATACAATCTATCGGAACCTGTCTGAATCTATCTCGTTGCCATTGTCCTTGAGGCAGCTGTTGCTGTGCTGGGGCTGTGGTTGTGGTTGTGGTTGTGGTTGTGGTAGTGGTGGTGGTAGTAGTAGTAGTAGTAGTTGTTGTTGTTGCTGCTGTTGTTGTTGTTGCTGTTGCTGCTGTTGCTGCTGTTGCTGCTGCTGCTGCTGGTGTTGGTGTTGTTGTTGTTGTTGTTGTTGTTGTTGTTGTTGTTGTTGTTGTTGTTGTTGTTGTTGTTGTTGTGTTTGGTGGTTGGTGGTTGGTGGTTGGTGGTTGTTCTTGTTCTTTGTTCTTTGTTCTTTGTTCTTTGTTCTTTGTTCTTTGTTCTTTGTTCTTTGTTCTTTGTTGGTTGTTGGTTGTTGGTTGTTGGTTGTTGGTTGTGGGTGTGGTTGTGGTTGTGGTTGTGGTTGTGGTTGTGGTTGTTGTTGTTGTTGTTGTTGCTGTTGTTGGTGCTTGTGGTGATATTGCTAGTGAGTGTTTGTGTCCTGAGGCTCTTGTGGTTGTGGGTGTGGCCGGGAAAAACGTGGGTGTGCTGGTTGTGTTTGCTCTGCTTGCGGCAGGTGTGGGTTGCTGGTAGGTTGCCCGTTGTCTTGGATTGTTGGATGTGAGTGGTTGGGTGTGCGTTGCTGGCCTGGTTTTTATTGTGGTGCTTAGTGTCGCGAATGCCCGTTAATCGCAGGAGATCATTCTGCTGGACACGAATGTTCGTGGAGTGGCGGTAATGCTGCATGACAAGATGACTGGGGATGAAAATATCCAGGCTGGGTTGTGGGAAATGGGCCTGAAATTGAGTTGTAGCAGCTCTGTTCAAGGCATACATGCACGCATACGTGCACACATACACGCACGCATACATGTACACATACATGCATACATGGCATGTCGTGCCCATGCCTGTTGCGAGCAGGAAGGGGTGCGAGTGGCAGCGTTTTATTGCCAGCGCAAAGTGAAGCGTCGCGCATCGGACAAGAGCTACCTATGTGCCTTCAACTCTGCATATATCTTACGGTTGGACATGGTCGTGCACCCGACGGTTCTTGCAGAGGAGATCGTGGTCCCGGCAGTGTGACTCATAGCATGCTTCGATGTGCTCTGCGTTCTGACGCCGTTAAGGGCGTAGAAGCAAATAACCATCTCGCTCAGTGGGGTGACAGATCTTTTGGAGACGACTTAATTTGAATCCTTGTATCTTGTAAGTAAGTGCTGAGAGTAGTCATGTGTAAGCATGATGAATACTGCTCTGGTGCGCCATGCCTTCTGATGCAGTTAAAGGCGTAGAAGCAAACAACCATTTTGCTCAGTGGGGGTGACAGATCTTTTGGTGAAACTGAAGGCTCCCGGGCTGAAAATTCATTGCTGAAACCTTGATCCAGCACAATCGTCTGGAGACTTTTGTAGCGAGAGGCCCTTTTCGATGGCCCTTGCAGGCATGACAAGTGGCAGGATGTGCTGCTTTGTGCTAGGTACAAAGGGGATGTTCAAAGGAGATTAGAATGGCAATTTACCCTTTTGCTTCCTGGTTGAAATCTAAACCACCCAGATATCATATGAAAAATAGATCGTGGCATCTCACAAATGCATTTTCTCACATTAAATTAGCCACTCGGAGTCACATGGCTTGACGAGATATAGATATGAGCAGTGAGTTGGTTTAATTCCATCATCCCTAGCCAGTGATCCTAGAACATAGGTCCAGCAAAATGGCCTTGTTTGGGAATCGGCTGATCAAGAGCCAGCGCTGACAACCCTTTGTGCAGATGCCAGCATGGACAAAAATTGGGCATGTCGGCATTGCTAGAAGGGGCGATGGAATGTGCCTGCAGCTTGTTGCACCCCATATTGTCTAGATTGCAAGAAATGTGGGTCCATCCATTCTTGAGTCTTTGGAGATGATAAAAGGTTATTGGATGAGTGTTCTACCTCCTGGACCATCTTGGGGCTTTTCCTTGGGTTCCCCTTGGCAGGTGGCAGACAACATTGAAAACTTCCAGAAGCGTTTGGAGATGTTGCTGTCCCTGACAGATGCTGGGAGTCCCAAAACAAGTACCGTCTGCCAAGCGTTTTATTACTACCATTACGACTAATATTACATATATGCTATATGTATAGATCATTTGATAATAACACAATATATACACATACTATCTTTGATAGATGTGGTAATCTCAATGCTAGAAACTATGAAATGTATATAGTCATAGCATTCCCTTTATATAACAAAAATAGATAATGATGATCTGTATACACACACATAAATATATATGATAATATAGGTATGGTCTCTCAATATAAACCATCAGATAAGAATATGATTCCCCCCCATTATTATCCCCATTATATGGTACTCCCATTTTAATAGCTATGTATTCATCATACAATCATATATACTCACTGTTGGTATACTATGTATAATGTCATGATTCAATCCTATATATTCACAATACACGAAAAATGGGAGTAAACATGTGAGTAATGCTATATGATCGCACTATCCCATAATCCCATTATCCTATTATAGATTGTACATAACATTTTTTTTATGAGTACCATTATGATGATGGTTACATACCATATTCCTATTACTATCATTACTATTATCTACCATAATAAAGCATATAACTATGCCATGTTTACACGATATCCCATTATATACCATTTATATACTATCCCATTATATACTAGTTATCATATACTATGCCATATACATACAATATATTTACTATCCCATTATCCTATTATGGTTGATATCCCATTACTATACCATTATTACAATGTTGTAATAGTGGAATAATAGTGCTTTATAATTGGGGAATTTAGCCATTTACTATCCCCATCATCATGATTATAGTTGATAATGATCAGTTTGGGGATATTTACCATTTACATCATTTACTACACCACCATGGTTGATATTCCCCAAAGTGGTCATCATACCATAATCATCATCAACCATATATTTACTATCATATTATTATATCAGATTATTAATATACTTTTTTGCTACATAATTTCCAGCTTGGCTCCAAGGCCCAAGGACCGCGTAACGTTTCCAACGGGTCATCTTCAACAACTGCGCCAATGGGTCATCGTCAATAGGCGGTGCTGCCGTTAGATAGAATCTTCGGAAACCAAGAAAATTAGCAAAATCCTAATGGTCGATGATTACATTGGTACTGCTAAGCCAGAGAAATTTGCGCCAAGGCAGTGGTAATTCTTCCACAGGGTCATGATCAATCAATGGCTGCTTGCCCGGCTATGTGAAGTGGGTGGCCTGGCGATCATGCTTGCCGGCAGGAATCGCCAATGTGCGACTCTTGCAAGAGTTGCGAGCGTTTCACCAGCACGATTGGACACACAATCGACTGGTGAGTAGTGTATTTGTTGGCAGCGGACTAAAAAGATAGGGTGCACGGCTGTGTTTTGATTTTGGAAGCAAGTGGCAGTATATTTCGCAGTATCACGTCCCCGAGTATATGAAAATCGAAGGCTGAAAACTAAGGCGCTTGGTTTTCCGAGACTTGTTTCTAGGAATCATCATGAAACAAAGTGTCTTTGCTTCGAACCTTTGCGTTTCAGATTCGATCAAACGTGGATTGTCGAAAATGTAAACGAAAAGCAAGCACATCACAATACAAGGTTTCGGCTTTGGTCACAGAAATCTTGCTCAGTGCAGGAATCCTGTGGCAGTGCAGGAATTCTGGGCGCGTCGCAGGAATCTTGGGGGCAAATTAACATTTCCCCCGGATTTCTACAAATCCTATAGCTAAGGCCCCGGATTCTTGTTTTTTGAGGGTCCTGGTACATATATATATATACATACATGCATACACCGAAAGAATCAGTGAATCAGAAAGACATACATATATTTAATATACACACACATGTGGTATGTACTTACAAATGCGGTATACAGTTCAAGTTCCTGACTTTTCGATCTCTTGCAGATGGCCGGTCACACACACACGTCGGCTTGAAACTGACATGCGGTGAAGGGGCATTTCTTTGGTGCAGCGAAAGCAATTTCGGCTGCGGTTTCAAGGGCCTGTTCTCGATCCAACATCCGGCGCCATGTCCATTGAATGCTTTGACACCTACTTCAAGGACAGGGAAAGGGGGCCACCAGGTCAGCTATGCATTCAATATGATTCAACACATGAACCAAGTTCCAGAACATTTTCAAGTTGCTTTCATGTCTTAACTACCCAAGGTATTTTTTATTGTTGTTGTGGACAGATACGGACCATAATTTTGACATTGCACATCCAGACAGCTGGAAGAAGGCCCAGTGTAATCAGTCAAAAATTCTGGTCAAACCCAATGGATCCCTATTTGGAGGTTTCCTAAGTCATAGGGGATCCCCAAGTCACCATAGGTTTCAATACTAAGTCATGGCCATCCATGACTGGATGATTTGGGGGGTAACCCTATTTTGGGAAAACTTCACATTATGTCCAAAGCAATTATAGGGGGTACCCCCAAAATGAATGGTTTCCTAAAATGGGTACGTAGCCCAGAACCTTATCACTCACCACATCGGTGGTAGTGCCGGTGAAGCTCTCCATGTTGGCCGTCGCTGATCTTCGTGGTTCCATTGCGTTTTGTTCTATCCCATGTTTTTTCAAGTCGTAAATATTCTGGAACACACCCAACTTGACAACACATTATTGAGTTATATTGAACCGTACCGAACCATATCATATAGACCATATATAAACCATATCAAAACATATTATTATAACCATTTAAAACCATAGAAAACCATATTTTTTAAAAACCAAAAAAACATATAAAACCGTAAAAACAACGACTATAGCATGGGTGCAAATTCAAGTCCCCAATTGTGATTTTTGGTTTTTGCAATCTGCAGGAAGGTCGCAAGATTGTGACCGTGAAAGATGTGGAACCCGAAAAGTTCATCAGCGCCTTCTCTCAGCACTTGAAGCGTCAAGGCGCCGCGGCGCGTCGTGTTGTGGTTTTGCAACAAGGGAGGCATAGAAACGACATGGGATACCCTGGGTAGCCGGAAAAATTCGGATGGCTCAAATGATGTTATATTATGTTAGATATGTTTCTTGAATATTTTACTATTCATTTTATCACCCAGACATTGGACATCTTTGGGGAGAACGTTCGGTACAAAACCACTACTGTAGGTCCACTAGTGGATGGGATGAATCCTGCACCAGTTGGTGTCTATGGTAACTATATTGGATACTATTGGGAACCATGAAAAACTATACATAATGATAATACTGGTATAATAACGGGATAAACCATCTACAAAATGGTGCAGGATTTCTTCCATCCACAGTAGTAGTGGATGGGATGAATCAAACAGACCCAACCAAAATGGAAAAAAACAACAGAAGTGGTGTGAAGAAGCAACGAAAGCTGTTTTCCTCAAGAAGAAATCAAAAAAAACTCCACTATATTTACATATATATTTACACACATACATATATATATATATATTTACATATGATATATATATATATATACACATTACATATGTATGCTTTGTATTATATATATATATATATTTAGATTTGTATGATCCATATTCCTTACAAGTTGGAAGAGCACAGTCATCTGTCCTGCAATTCCGTTTGGATGTTGTCAGGCAACCATACTCTCAACAAACGATAGGTAGGGGAAGAGGACAACAATGAAGCAACAGACTTAACTTGGGTGATATGATCTCATGGTCAAGCTTGACATCACTCTCACAATTGTTCACACCAAACTACCACGACAGATCCTACTTAGTGATTCAACCTCTATTGAATCAACTGTAATATAATAATTGGAAAACGCACAATTGTAAAACAAACTGCCACAATATATCTAAGTGATTCTATCGATTGTAGTGTGTTTTTTTCCCATGTTTCCCAGCGATTTTCTCCCTATCCTCGGGTCGTTTCACGATCGTCGAACGCATCGATCTTCGGCACAGGTCGTTTCGAGCTGCCCAAGTGGGCCGACGTCGTCAAGACCAGCAAGGCCAAGGAACTGCCCCCCAGCGATGCTCGGCCACGTTGAACGTGGGACGTTGGCCCCAAAAAAGGTCCATGGAAAAGTTGGAACCTGGAAATATGGCCATGGGTTTGGTGATGAAAATAGGGTATATTCCCAATGAAATAGCCATTTAATAGGGATAATGATCAGCAAAACCATTGGGTAAATGGGGGTAAACATTTTCAGACACACCCATATTTATTCTTTTTAGAAATATCATGACACCCTCGATTTTGATGAAACATCCTAGTTTTTGTTGGTGTATAATTATTATAAGTGTCCTGTCGTCATTGATTTGGATATGTGGATTTTTTTTGCAGCAAATGCTCACAGAAGAGGTAAATTGACCGGAAACCTATGCAAGCCTTTTGGTAAAAGTAACCGTGGGTTTCCTCCAATTTTTCCATGTTTAGGAAGAACATACCAATTGACTGGCAAATTAGAGCAGCAACTTTGGCATATTCACAAGAATGAAAATGATGCATTTGTGGAGACATTCAAGATGATGCTTGTGAACATGACACAGGTTGAGCCAGGTGGGAAACCCCAAGAAACACTCCAAGTTCTACACACGGGATGCATGATCTCCCAGGTCGACCTTCAGAATGGTGCTTGACAGCGACCAAAGTCCTTCTTGAGTGAGTGTATAGGCTGTTGTACTGCCTGGATCTGCCTGGTTGATGTTGATTGAGGATTAGGATTGTAAGCTGACGTATTGAGGGACAGCCTTATTGATTCAATACATCAACCTCTCACGGGATGACGCACCCTGACCTGGCTGAGGATCCTGACTGGTTGTATGTGCGAACTGCCTCCATGGTCCGAAAGATTTACATCCGCAAGGGCATGGGTGTGGGCCGCTAGGCTTATGGTTTAGCTTAGCCAGGTGAAAAAGCAAAGAACTGACGCTCAGAACCATCAGATGTCAAGACACCATGATGCTGGTGATGGAATATCCATCAAGGCCCTCTTTATTCTAGTTACTCCAAGAGGGGGTTCAGAAGCAGCTGCCCAGTTCTTGAGCCTCAATATACAGCGATTTGGCTGTGTGATTCAAACAGAGATGCATCCTTTATCTGTGGGATCAAAAACCCTATAGACAATTGTTTGTCAGGCTGTCAGACTGGCTACATGATTTGCATTAAACATAGATAGACATATAGTGTTGTACTGGAAGTCAAGGCCTAACGGGTCCCTTGACCTTTTGCACTTTCCAGTGGATCCAGTGGCGTGGTTTTGGGCCACCAAGGTGCTTTCAAGAAGGTCTATGGTTGCCAGCAGCGAAGAGGTACTTGCACCAATGTCTTCGTGGGAGCTCCTATGTGTCGGTGGTTCTCCCGCTGTTGCAGGGGTTGAAATGGGGGGATCTATGGTGATGGCTCTTCTTCTTCTTCTTCTTCCATGTTCTATCATGACATAAACATATATCTCTATGAGATCATACGTACATATGTATATATAAGATCATACGTACATATGTATATATACATATATATAATATTTAATACATATATTATATAATATATAATATTTAATATATTTTATATATGTTATATATTGTTATATAATATATATATTATATAAATATATATTGTATATAAGTATATATTATATTATATATATTATATTATCTATATTATAGTATATATATATATTTTATTATATATATTATATATTATATATATACACATACATGTACCTCTCTGGTAATTCTGGACAATTCCACATTTAGTTTGATCATTTTCCCATTTCAATTCCCATTTAGTTAAGGGATTTCCAAGCCAGCCATGTTTGAGTAGGACCGGGAGAGGGTATTTTCTGCATACATCCACTAAAAGTTGGCCTTGCACGTCATTTGCCTAATTTGACACACAAGAAAAGGCATGGGACAAAAGTATGTCTCTAAACACTAAAGATGGTTCATGGCTTACTATATATTAAAAATTATTCTTACTACTACCATTCCATTCGTTTTCTGAAGTAAACACGTGTCTCAATTCTTGACCTATCCCCAAACAACCCCATAAGTTCTGGCAAGCAGATGCAAGCAGTATCTACGGACTGTGGAATCCCATTACTTTTTGGTGGAATCCCACAACCAATCCTTGGTGGTCTGGAGTGGTGGCAATCCCCATTTTAGTTTGGCAGCCACCTCACTGAAATGATGGGCTTCGTACGGGCAATTGTCCCAATATGTGTATATATAAATATTATATAAATATAATACAATATAATATATATATATATAATATACAATATATAATATTAGTGTATATTAGTGTAATATATATATGTATATACATAATATGATATATATATATATACATATGTATATAAGTATATATTATAGATAGAATATATAATATATAGAATATAATATATATATATAATATTCTATATAGAATATAATATTATATATATAATATTATATAATTTAGAATATAATATTTATTATAGTCAAGCTTTTCAGGTTGGTGAACTATAATTTACCCAGAGTGTTGTTGATTGATCTATGCTCACAAAATGTCTATCACGCCAGTCCAGGTAGCTGCTCTTCCCATCCTAAGCCAACAAGACTTACCCTCCTTCCAATTAAGGTAGACCCTGGAAAAAAAATGTTTAGTGGAAACTAATCTTCCAACCCCCGCATATCTTTGGCAGGGTTTGCGTTGATTTTCCGGATGGTAAAGGAAACAGTCATTTTTGTATGAGAATTTTGCTGCACTTCGCCCAATGAATCCAGCTGCTGAGACCAAATCCTCTGGAAAGATTGCTCGCTACATCCTGCAGCAGCTCGAGGCGCGACCAAGCCTCGCAAAGATATGATGAGCATCATAGGGGAAACCATCCCAAGTCGTATGGGCGAACTGTTCTGAGTTGATACACCAAAAGACTGACTATAGACACCTGGTGCTATTTTATTTGTCATCCATGTCCATGTTTCATCCTAATATAATATAATTAAATGTGTATATATATATATATATCATCGCAACGTTAGATGATGGTATATACAATGTATGTGTGTATATATACATATATATATATATACATACATGTTTGATTGTGTTTGTATTATTTTTGAAAGTTGCATATAAAAAAAACGTACAAAGATCCTGCAATTGAAATTCCATTAAGTATCAATGATTATAATGATTCATCATTACTAACCACTACTTTCCCCATTAAAACCCTACAAAATACTATATATGATTTCCCTATAAAATCCCATTAAAACCCAATAAATTCCCATGATTTCCCCACAAAGTCACCAGGATTTCTCTATATCAACCAGCACCATGTTGCCATGGCCCGCAGGAGATGGGTCTGGTGGAGCAGGATGAGGCTGGCGGACGCATGATCACCAAGGAGCCGGGAGCCGATTCTGCGGTCGATCCCCCAAGTAATGGTAGGTTTCTGGCAGGTTGCCCACATTAATCGTTGTACCTATTCGTAATTGGTAATATGTGTATATATATAATTATACATGCATATATATAATTATACATACACACATACATACATACATACATACATACATACCTTACCTTACCTTACCTTACCTTACATTGCATTGCATTGCATTGCATTGCATTGCATTACATTACTTTACATTACATTACATTACATTACATACATACACACGTGTATGTGCGTGTTTGTGTATGTTTCGGTGGAAAGATCCATATGTTTGACAGTTAAATCTCCTTAGAGGGATGGCTGCAGGAAGGCCAGCGCGAGCTGGACACTGTGGCCGTGCAGGCGGCAGCGGAGGAGGAGGCTGGGGACTGGGGTACCATTTTGGTGTTGAAACATGTTAAAACCCATTGGTTTGGGGGTAATGCAAATCCTCAATGTACCTGTATTAGTTTGTTTTTAAAGGAGGATTCAATTTGTAGAAACGCGCAAAAAGGTTCTGGTTCAGAGAAGGTACCGCGATTTTAGGATTGCTTTTTTATTCTATCATCCCACATTTTACTCAGTTGGTTCTTCAGTTTTTCTGCATGTTTGGGGATTTGGGGGTTGCCATAGATGAATCGCAACGCAGGAAGAGGAAGACGAGTGAGCGGCACAGCACCGGGGGATCAGCGAGGCTTAAAATTGACGTCTGCGATCAGCGCTCGGTGCTCGGCACCTGGAAATGACGTGGTAATCCTACGATCTGGAAATTGGGAATGTAACCTGCAACCTTCAAAAAGATGGAAGAATCACCGGTGGTAATTGACATGTTTTTGGGGATGTTGATTCAATGTTGATGTATTTCAATTAATTGGGGATGTAAAGGCATCATCAGAAACTGGTAATTGAACTACGTTTCTTCCCTCTTCTATCTTTTGTGGAGTAGCTGCACCCAACAAAGATGAATCAACGCTATTTTTTTTCAAAACATGATTGAGAAAACGATGCATCTTGGAGGTGAACTATTTGGGGACAAAGACCCTTGGATTCTTGTAGAAACGAGCCCATGTGACTTCGTGCAACCCAAAAAACAGGGTTATTTTGCCACCTGAGTCCTGTCCCATCATGTCCCAAACGAACTACGAACTGGACATCGATCTTTCCAGGACGCTGCACCCGACGTGCGCGAAGCCTACATGATGAAGAATCGTGACATGCAGCGGAGGCGAGTCGTCGAAATCGGATCAGTTTCTAGTGATCTGATCCCCCGGATCTGATCCCCGAACTTGGCATGTTTGGTAGCTGGGATAGAAAACTGGGAATAGCTGGGATTGAATTTGGGATGTGACCCAGTTACTATAAACACCTTCATCTTTACATATATATGTATATTCCTTTCATCGTCCTGTCGTTCATGGATGTCTCATATGTCTCACATTTCCAATAGTTGTCCATTGGACATGAATGGGTAAACTTGACTTTTCTGCGATAGGATCCGTTTCCCAAAAAATGGATAGCAATGAGTGTTGAGACATGAGCAACAAGTGTGGTTTGGACGTGTGTAATGTGTTTGGGATGTGTCTGGTTTTGTACCTCAGACAACCTCTCGAGATACACTCCGTGGGTTTTCCAATCAGTTGGGTAATTTAACATAGCTGTGGATAATGTCCCATATATAGATATTTTACGTGTAAAAGATTGTGATTGTCCATAGCTATGTTAAAATATCTTCACACCCAGTTCCTACTGGTAGGTTTACTATAATGTCAGTAAAGCAATTCTAAACCAGCCATAATGTTGATGGTTTATACGAGCCATATTTTGATGGTTTAATTTTACTATTTATACCACCCATTTATGGTACATTTGGGGCCCAAAGGGCATGGTTTATGGTACATTTACTATTGCTTTACTAAAAATGTACCATAAATGTACCATAAATGTACCATAAACCAGGTTTGACATGGTTTATGGTACCTGGTTTATGGCTACATTTACTAACCATTTAGTTTGATCATGGTCAGTCGCCCAGGACCAAGGCGAACCTGATGAGTCGCATGATGGAGCTGGAACGTGACCGGGGATACCTCTTGGGCCCTACAGGCAGCGGAAATGGCAAGTAGAGCCCCACAAAGATATAGAAAAGTTACATCCTACTAGGCTAAAATAGTTGAAAATTCTTGAATATCACTTTTCCATCTTTTTGAGAGCTTACTATATACTGTAATTTCATGGGATCATCAAAGAACTCTTGCCGGAGGATTTCCAGCCATGCTTGACACCAGAGGCCAACAAGGAGTAAGGATGATGTGACCCAGCAAGTCATTAGGTTCTGGGTCTGGCATCTCCACCTAGGATGCCTGCCCCTGTAGCAGGTACACCCTTGGCGCCTGGAGAACTCAATCGCGGGCCGGGCAGCACGGCCAGTGGCGGCTGGGGTTCAAGGGGGGTTTTTGCATAACCCCCCAAAACAAAGGTGTAGGGATGTGTCAAAACTGAAGGGCCAGCACACTTTTGGTCATTTCTAGTATTACCATCTATGACGCATCCAATTCTAGGGGTTCAGGATCACAGGACTCAATTTTGACACCCAGATGGATTTAGGAACTGCAGTTCCCCTGCTTTTGTTTGGGGCTAGCAACCATGAGACGCTGGAATCACTTCCCTCCCGCTTGGGACTCATCTCACCAGGACATTTAGCTTGATGAACGCCTTGGCCTCAGAAGGGGGAGAGTTCCCATGGTTGGTCGGTGTTTTTTTTCGGAAATGTGAGGAACATGTGATAGAAAGAGAACAAGAAATTGGATCTGAATGGTGAGAAAACCGTGATGGGTCTACTCTATTGTCAATGTATGTTTATTTTTTTTTTTGCTTTTTTCCTGTGTGCATTCAATCACCTTCAGAGCCAGCTCCAGAGGTAAATTTATCTGTTTGTGGACATATTCGGAACAGACATGATGCTGTTCTCGCTAGCTATCCTCTCTGGAATTGCTGATCAGAACATGTTCAAAATCTAGATGTTGGAACTGAACTCCTGAGCAGTTTGGAAAAG